TTCAAACAACATGAATAGATCCAAAGTCAGGGATGCCCGCTACATTATTTTTGTTTCTTGTAACACTGTCTGGTAGAAGACCCTCTTTAAAGCTTTTATTTATTTTAGAAATGGCAGATGCTAATGCAAGAAAGAATCCTTGTTCTGCCTTCTGTCACTGCAATAATCTATGTATTTCTACATACTCATGTGTCATCATGGTATGTGAGCACCTATCAAAGTGAGCCAAAAAGGAAGGTCAGATAGACTATAATTTCAAAAAGCATTTTTATTTATCCATAAATTAGAAAGACACTTTTTTCTATTCCTACTAATAAAAACTGCATCAGCTAAGGTACATAAAAAGATTCTTTACCATATTCAGCCAATTTGGATTTAGTTATGCTGTGCAGAGTAAGAGAAAAGATTAATGAGGCCTACAAAAAGATGCATAAGCAGTGATCCCCATTTCCCCTAACTCAGATCCTACCAGTCTTACACTGTCCTAGAATGTTCTTGGACATGAGCAGTAATAACATTTAGTTTGTTTAGGCTAGAAAAATGTGAACAGAGTTTGGTGACTACCTATGACACTTAATGGTTGCAAAGTTAGTGTCTTAAAAAAAAAAAAAGAGAAAAACCAAACACAAGACATGTCCAGGTTCAGCTATTTAAGAGTTGGGGTAAAAGGGAGGAGATCTATTAGGCCTGGACTTATACTGAATGCTTTACTCTCTCGGGGGAAGGCTTTGGGAACCTCAACAAACCTCAGACTTTAGCATTAGTGAGACCTCTGGGTATTGTTCCTGCATGGCTGCAACTTAGTACAAGAGGAGCACTGCATGCAGCAGAGGAGTGGAAGGAGATGCACTGGCAGCACAGGGAGCAGCTCTTGAGCTCAAATAGCCCTTCGTGCCTCCCCCATCCATTCACTACCTGAAACTGTTCGAATCTGAAGGGGGGACACACACACACGGTACTTATTGCCCTACTGCCTGAAAAAAACACTGTTAGCTCAATGTTTTCTTCACATATTGAAGAGCAGTCTTGGGTAGAGGGAAACCATCATAATGCCAATCTCTGATGACTCAGTTTTCACTGAGAGTAGAACTAATTCTGGGGGAGACGGTGGTGAACTACAAGGACCGAAGAAGGCATACACACTATTCTCCTGGCCCTGCTACTGCTGTCATCCTCCCTTGCATGACATGTAAGGGGCATGGTCACGCTCCCTTACAGATGTTCAATGAGCCAAAAGGAAGATCAGTGAGCTTGAGGAAAGGACACATCACAGAAGTACTTTTGTGTTTTATTCCCCTTCATATTTTTCCTCTTGTTTTCCTTTCTTTTTGATTTATCAGTCATTTCCTTTTGGAAAGCCTCATTTCAACAGCTTCCTTGGAGAAGCCTGCTGTGCCTAGAGCTGAACTGTTTCTATCAGGTAGGCAAAGGGGATCAAAGTTTCAGTTCATATTAGTCAGAATGGCATCATGGGTTTCAGGGGAACTAGAATAATTTATAACAGCTGTCCCTCTAATCCTTGGGGACCCAAGCCATAATTCAACAATCCAGGCTAACTACATCACAGTTACAGTCCTTTCTTGGTTATTACAGTATAACATGACTATTGGGGGGAAAAAATGCAAAGCTCCTCTAAAACTCCCCAAAGACAAAATAGCAATAAAATGCATTCCCTATTTATCTCTCTTCACAAACCTAAAACTTCATTCTGCTTCCAAAGAGGGCTTGAAAGAAGACAAGATAGTATTCACCACTGTTACCACTGCAGCTTGTTTTCAATGTATTTAGCATGTGCAGCATATTTAACATTTATAGCACTTTATGCTGAGGTGTTATTAATCTCAATAGAAAGTTGGCTTAGAAAGCTTTGAACACTCTGAAGTTAACATAAATTTATCTACATTACAGATGTGTATGGAAACATAAAAGAGACTTGGAGAAAGAATAGTATTTTCTACTACATCATTCAAAGCTGGAATGACATTTCTATTCAATTTCATTAAATTTGTCTATTAGAGTGGAACAGAAGTGGAAAAAATCCTATATTTTGGCTATCATGCTGTATAAATATATGCATCCATACATATATATGTGCACATACAACATGCACAGACACACAGTTCTGCAA